GCAGCACTGCAGGGGGGTCTCCCCAGAGCAGAGCGCAGCAGAGGGGCACAATCCCCCCTCGCCCTGCTGGCCACGCTGCTGGGGATGCAGCCCGGGATGCCGGGGGCTCACTGGGCTGCCAGCACACGTTGCCAGCTCATGACCCATTTATCATCCACCAGTACCCCCCAAGTTCTTCTCTGCAGGGCTGCTCTCCATCCATCCATCCATCCTCCAGCCTGTATTGATACTGGGGATTTCCCCAACCCAGTTGCAGGACCTTGCACTTGGCCTTGTTGAACTTCATGAGGTTCATATGGGCTCAACTCCTCCAGCCTGTCCAGGTCCTTCTGGATGCATCCTGTCCCTCAAGCAAATCAACCGAACCACTCAGCCTTGTGGGATCTCCAAACTTGCTGAGGGTGCACTCAATCCCACCACATACGTCCTTCTTGGAAATAATGGTCATGAGACTGCTGTAACCAGAAGCTTGCAGGCAGGAAGAGGCAGGATGTCCAATTTTGGGGTGGTTTGAGGGGTTTTTTTATGATTTGCGGTGCATCAGCCGCCTCCCCAGCATGCGGGGACATAGAGCGGGGTATGGTCTTCAGCACCAGTGTGAGCTGGTGCGTGTGATGAAAATAAGGTGCCCATCTCCACAACCTCCTTCTCCTACAGCTGGTGGAGGTCAATGGCTCCCCATGCTTGAAGCTCACAGAAGATGAAGAGAAGATGACGATCCCGGGGATTAAGACGATCTATCGGCTCTATGATGCTGCCGGTGAGTTGGCGCACCCCCTGCTATGGTCCTCCCCGTTGACCTCTGTGCCTGTGCTCCATAAACCTGTCCCCAGTGTCCCAGGCACCCGCTGGTCCCTAACCTGGCACCCCTTCAGGTCACCCCTTCATGGACCTCATGGCCCTGGAGGAGGAGCCCTCACCCACCGCGGGGCAGGAGCTGGCGGTTCGTGTCCTGGGGCATCTTGGCGAGACCAGCAAGGTCGTGCCTACCACCGTGGAGCCCCTCCATCGCACGTACTTCAGAGATGGCCAGGTCAGGGGTGGATCTGTCTTCTGGTGCTGGAGCGTCCTCCGCAATGTTGGGTGAAGGACCAAGCAAGGGTGGTGGTGTCTTAGCAGTAATGGCAGAACCAAAGGGTTAATCCCTGATATTTCTTTGCGTCTGTCCCCTGTCCCGACAACTCAGGTGCCACCCTGGACATGGTGGCATCAGAGTCCAGCCTGGAGCTGGCTTGTTGGGGATTGGGGCCAGCTCCCCATATGGACATGGTTGTGTATCTCCATCCTACAGGTTTCTGAGCCTCTGCCCACCCTGCTGGAGGTGAGGAGTCATGCGCAGGCGTCCCTCAGCCTGCTCAGTCCCGCTCACCGCCGGCTCCACGAGCCACAGCCCTACCCGGTACGTCCACCGCATGTTGGCACCATCGGTACACCCCCGGGAACCCTACCTGGTCCCGGTGGCCTGGGCAAAGGCCATCACAGAGCCACAGCGGTGGGTGGATGCAGGACACGGGGCTGCATTGTGCCCCGGGGAGCGCACGCTCACCGTCCCCTCTCGCTCCTTGTGCCAGGTGGCCGTGACGGAGAGGCTGCACCGTCTCCTCACCGAGCTGCGGCAGGCCAGCCAGTGAGGGGGTCACCGCTCGTCCCCCCCCCACGCTGCCCCAGCCCACGCTGGGGACCAACTTTTCCTCCCTGCTCTTTTGAAGACCGGGTGACTAATTGGGAATTGATGGTTCTAACGACCTTGCTGCTGCGCGGTGCTGATGCGAGACATCTGCAGGAACTGGAAGTGTTCCCTGAGGTCCCAGTAGCAAAGCTGGGCGCTGAGGGATGGGGCAGGCAGAGCTGGGAGGCGGCTGCCCCCACGTCCTCTGGAAGCGACGGTCCTTCCCTGCCTTCCTCGGTGGCCTTGCCCAGCCCTATACCTTCTGCCATGGCAATGCTGCCTCCCTTGGTGGCCCTGCCAGCCCTGTGCCTGCTGCTGCAGCAGCGCTGCCCACCGCGGTGGCCCTGCCGGCCCTGTGCTTCCTGCTGTGGCAGCCCACGCTGAAGCTCCTTGGTGGCACTAGAGACCAAGTCTTGAGTACACAAGGAGTTCTACCATGGGAAGGGCCAGCCTGTCCCCAACCCATGTCCTGTGGGACATCCGTGGCAGATGCACTTTGCCTTTCCTTTTCTAGGCTTTGGCTCTGTGGCCACATTTAATCTCTTTCCCCTTTTTTATCTGTGCCCTGGGGCATGGAGACCAGCTCCAGGTTGATGCTGGCTCCAGATTGACGCCGACCCTCCCTAACCTGATGTTCACAGAGGAACTGTGGCACTAATCCCCGCAATTAACTTCATCCTAAGCAAAAAAATGAAATAAAGGCCTTTACACACTATTGGTAGGGTCACACCGTGTGGCTGCTCTGGTCCTTCAAAACATCCACTGCATTGTCTAACGAAACAGCTTTCACTTTATACAGTGATAAACCATGAAGTTGGAATGAAAAGCAAGTGCCTGACCCCTGAGAGCACCTAGAGGTGGCCCCACTGGGGCCTCACAGCCCAATTTCTTGGCATCCTCTGACCCCAATTCCAGTGAAAACCCCTTTGTAGCTCCACTAGGCATGGGTCTCGTGCCCAGGCAAGGACTGTTTGAAGGCTTTAGCAAAAGAGGGTCAAGAGGAGACCACGGAGATGCTGCGAGGGCTGGAGCCCCTCTGCTGGGAGGACAGGCTGGGAGAGTTGGGGGGGGTTCAGCCTGGAGAAGAGAAGGCTCCGCGCAGACCTCAGAGCCCCTTCCAGTGCCTAAAGGGGCTCCAGGAGAGCTGGGGAGGGACTCTGGATCAGGGAGGGGAGCAATGGGATGAGGGGGAACAGTGTGACGCTGAAAGAGGTGAGATTGAGATGAGATCCGAGGAAGAAATTCTTGGCTGTGAGGGTGGTGATCCCCTGGCGCAGGTTGCCCCAAGAAGCTGTGGCTGCCCCATCCCTGGAAGTGTTCAAGGCCAGGATGGACGAGGCTCTGAGGAACCTGGTCTAGTGGAAGATGTCCCTGCCCATGGCAGGGGGTTGGACTGGATGATCTTTAAAAGGTCCCTTCCAACCCAAACCATTCTGTGATTCTGTGAATTGAGCCACCCATGGCAGAGGTGCAGTGAGAAGGGAGAGAGGGAAATGCCCAGCGAGACACATCTGCGCGTCCCCAGGCACCGACCCTGCGCCTGTGTTACCACACCCACCCCGGAGCGGCCGTGGTTTAGATCTTTGCAACTCACGTTGATGGGGGAGAAGAAAAAAATAAAAAGCTTAACGAGGCATGGCCTGATGGGTTCTTGTATCTAAAAAGCCCAACAGGCTGGAGGTCCTCGTCACAATGCTCCAGCTGTGGGCACTGGATCACACTTTGCATTTTAAGAGAGAGAAAAAAAAACACTCCAGGAAAACCAAGAGCAGTTTGTTATTGAAACTTACATTTTTTTGAGCAGAAGCACCAGAAATAGAAAAGCCCAACCCCCAGCGTACCTGAGCAGAGATTGTCCTGAGTTCTTAGAAGGAATGAAGAGCAACTTTTAAGTAGACAAACATGAGACAGCAGTGCCCTCTCCATGGCCAGAGGGCATCGGCCAGAGGTCAGCGAGTCAGTTCGCAAGCAGGAGCAGGGTAAACCCATCCTCAGGAAGATTTGTTGCAAGACCTCCCACCATCCCTCCTGCCCCTAGACAGACTCTTCAACTGCTGGCACTTCGGCTTGGCCCAGGACCACTTTGTGTATCTCCAAGGATGGAGACTCCACCACCTCTCGGGGCAACCCATGTCAGGGCTTGTCAGCCTCATGGTGAAGAAGTGTTTCCTGATGTTCAGACGAAACCTCCCGTTTCAGTTTGTGCCCGTGGCCTCTGGTCCTGACACTGGACACCACCGAGAAGATCCTGGCTTGGTCTTCTTTGCACCCTCCCTTCAGGCATTTATAGACATTGATGAAAGTCCCCCGGAGTCTTCTCTTCTCCAGGCTGAACAGTCCCAGCTCTCTCAGCTGTTCCTCATAGGAGAGATGCTCTACTCCCTTCACCACCTTTGTGGCTCTTTGTTGGACTCTCTTTGACTCTCTTGTACTGGGAAGCCCCAAACTGGACCCAGTACTCCAGGTGTGGCCTTATCGGTGCTGAGCAGAGGGGAAGGATCCCCTTCCTTGACCTGTTGGCAATGCTTCTTCCTATGCAGCCCAGGACATTGTTCACCTCAACCACGAGGACAAATTGCTGCCTCGTGGTCAACTTGGGTGTTGAGGCCCAAATGCTCAGCAAGGACATTTGGAAGCTGAATTAAGTGCACGTTACCAGTCTGGGTCCATTACCCTCCAGTCGTCCTTTTGGAGCCACCTCATACAGAAATAGGGGACACACCAGAAAGCCGACAGAGCCATCAAGCTGGTCCCAGTTAGCGTCACAACCCTGCCGTCAGGAAAAGAAAGATGCTAAACCACATGCATCGCGTGGCCCAAGCCACGATACAAAGCTACAGGTTGCGTACTACAATTGTTGCAGCCTGCATTTAAGAGGAAAAAAAGAGGAGGGAGATTACAGCTCCACGTCTGGGGCTCACGGATGCGTCCCTCGAGGTTTTGGTGCCCTCCCAGTGCAGTCCGGAATCTGGGCAACCCAGTTCATAGCGCTGACTCCCGTAACAGCTTCCCACTGCCATGACAACACGGGCTTTGTGGCAGAGAACCCCCAGTTTGCAAATTTAAATTATTTAACTTAAGGAATACCAGTTCCCACCCTGAGACCCTAATCCTTACTGCAGTCACGGCAGAAAATCTGAAAGTGCACATTTTTTTTCCATTTTTGCCCTTGGAATTCTGTTATTTGTCTTTGGCGCAGATCTCAGAGGTGGATGCAAAGATGGGACAGTAAGTGCTAAAAGTGAGGTTAACGCGCACGGTCATGTAGCAATAGCGCAGACCTTGCAAAAAAGAGGAGAGCATAATTGAGCTCACACGCTCTCCTTCTGCTCCATCTTTCTGCCATTGTTCTTATACAAATTTGTATTTTTAAAACATATTTGCAGCTTTTGGATGGTGAATTGACATTAAGTGCGTGTTACCAGTCTGGCTCCATTACACACCGGTCATCCTTCGTAGCCACCGCATACAGAAAGAGAGGACACACCAGAAAGCTGATAGAGCCATCAAGCTGGTCCCAGTTCGCATCACAACCCTGCTTCCTTATTTGCATCCATATTTGCATCCAATTAATCCCGTGGATGAAAATAAGGGATGGTGGGTAAAAGTGCCAGAGTATTAGTGCCGGACAAGGGCAGCACAGACAATTCAGGGACGCGGTTTTAGGTTTTCCACCTCAAGGAAAACCCTCGTCCTGACCCATCTCTTAACCACACCCCATAGTCTTCTCACTCCACAAGTCCGCGCGAGGAAGTCTTAACGCAGGGCGAAGCTGTGGTTTTCTCGTGCTCTTTGCAAAGCTGAGGATAACCGTTCATGTTTTGAGGAGACGCCGGTCCTCAGCTTTGGAGGGACGAGCTGGAAAAAAGGATGTTAGGGAGGACTCGGAGATAGGGCAGAGCTGCAGCGTGCCTGGGAAGGAGGGAGGGTGGAAAGGGAAGGGAGGAAATGAGAATGAATTTGAGTGTAAATAATTCAGAGTCCAGGTCTGCAGGTAGTACAAACTATCACTCGCTAAGGTCAGGTACAGGATTTAACAAACCCTGACGTGGATAGCTTGATAGCAGACGCTGGAAGAGGTAAGAAGAGGCAGAAGTGTGAGCTCGGTGCACCCAGACTCGGCTGCTTTCACCGATTACGAGCTGCAGGGTTGATCCAAGCTCACGTTTCCGACGCCTCGCTGCTCGGCGATACCAGCCCAAGGCAGCGTCACTTGTAAAGCGCCATCTTCTTGCTCTGGTACATGTACATGTAGGCGTCGCAGAAGAGGCGCTTGGCCACTCCATCCATGTCCCGAGGTTGCTCCAGGGCCAGCACAGCCAGTGGCAAGTCCAGGTATTTAGCAACTTCAGGGCACAGCGTTACCGTGGGAATGTTGAAGCCGTTTTCGTCACCTAACCCAGAAAGAAGGAGAAAAGTCCAAACCGGGTCCCGAGGGACGAGTACCTACAGCTCAAGCAGATACCATCACACTCGACAGTAATTAGTGCCTTAGGTGAGAGATCTGGAGGGCAAAGCGGGGGCAGGACAGGAGAACGGTCCTCGCCCACATGGCATCCAGTCCCAGTGGGCTCGAGAAGTCCCCAGTTTGAACACAGCCAGAGGATGAAAGCGCTAGGAGGAACGCACATGTGCTTGGAGGTCAGGAATGAGTGGTGTCCCTCAGGGGTCAGTACTGGGTCCAGTCCTGTTCAATATATTCATCAATGACCTGGATGAAGGGATGGAGTGTACCATCAGCGAGTTTGCTGATGACACAAAACTGGGAGGGGTGGCTGACACGCCAGAAGGCTGTGCTGCCTTACAGCGTGACCTGGCCAGGCTGGAGAGTTGGGTGGAGAGGAACCTAATGGAATTCAACAAGGCCAAGTGTAGGGTACTGCATCTGCGGAAGAATAACCCCATGCACCAGTACAGGTTGGGGGCTGACCTCCTGGAGAGCAGCTCTGTGGAAAGGGATCT